TGAGCAAAGCACATGTGCGGAAGGCCGAGCGCATGTGCGAAAGGCCGGGTGCAGGCATGAAGGTAGCATGTGTGAGGGAAGCGCACTTTCGGTTCTGGGCGAACCAGTAGGTAAATTATATGAATCCTACCTCTGGTCTCACCACATATAATATGATGGTCATAGATCAAGATGAAGTCATAGATACTTAACAAGCCATGTTTCTGGACAAGAGCAGAAAATACCAATGCAGAAGGAACAAAGCAAGACCCAATGGGGATTATATGGTCATGGAAAATAACTGGACATATGCCTCCGAGTAATTAACACCACCAAGCAACAGATACATTTGGCACATTATAAGATCAAATAATGCAGAATGTACAATAATGAATTCGACAGCAACAGAGGAAATGTATGTGTAGGAGGGAAAATAATAAGGCAGGTGTGGTGATAATGATGGAAAATCTCAGACGGCGCTCCAATGGGAAATCATCCCTCTTTATGAAATCTTAGAAAATACTGTTTGAGCAGCTATCTTTCCAACGCCAGTGTCATTTTATAATCAAAACTACTCCAGGGGCAGTGTAATTAGGCCTTACATTGTAGAATGGTAGACCAAAATTAAAAACATGTCCATTGACTAGGGCAGGTTGCCCCTAAAACCCAAAGGTTTTTGAATTGATGCTCCTCGCATTCCTAATCATGTGTCTGAGTGTGTCTTTGTGTAGCAGATGTTGTAATTGCTGTACATTTTGTATAAGCTTTGTGCTCCAATCTGGCATACATATGCACGTGTATAGAGATATTATTGCTCACATACTTCTCTTCGGCTCATTGTTAAGTAGAAAAGATAAAATTGTCCAGCAGAAATGAAGGCTGGTTTGATTATTTGATGTAGGGTTCCAAGAATTTTTAATCTTTTTTTTTTTCATTCTTTTTACAGCAGTAGGTTAGGAGGGAGTTTGTTTGAAATTAAAGCAACACCAAGTTTGTTATCAATTAAATTACCTTCACCTGGTTAACTGTGAGCTGCAAACAGTATATAACCGAGTTAGATGGTTTACAAACTCTGTATCCGACTCAACTCAAAAACAATGTGGAACAGTTCAACAAGAGTTCAGTTCTTTATTTGTTTACACACAGTAGACAGAATCTTACCAGACTAAACTCTTACCACTCCCAGGGAGATTCTAAGGAGTGACTATCTTTACTTTCTTCCTCTGCCTCCTATCCAGCCCTGGGATATGTTGCCTCTTGTCTTCCAAGAAAGTTTGGAGATTTTAAGTGGACATACAACTTGCTGTCAGATTATTGCAGCACAGATCATATCTCCCAAACATGGATAGGGTCAGTGGTGGGATTCAATAATTTAACAACCGGTTCTCTGCCCTAATGACCGGCTGGGTGGGTGTGGCCATGGTGGGTGTGGCCAGGGTGTGTGACAGGCAGCACTTAGCCTCCTGCATCCCCCGGGGAGCAAAAACGGGCTGCGGGGGGGGAGGGGAGGGTCCACCACCCGCTTTGGGCCTAGTATGCCTCCTTGCAGCCTCCTGGGAGCAAAAATGAGCCATGGGGGGAGCCATGCCACACGCACCCCCGCACCCCATATTGGGCCTAGTAGGCCTCCCTGCAGCCTCCTGGGAGTGAAAACAGGCTGCGGGGGCACCACACACACACCACACCCCGTTTTTGGCCTAGACCTCTTTGAAGCCTCCTGGGAGTGAAAACGGGGCACGGGGGGGCGCACCTCCCCCCCGGCCCGTTTTGGGTCTAGGAGGCCTTCTTGCACTTACCTGGGAGCTAAAATGGGGCACATGGGGACTCCTGGAAGGGGCGGGGCGGGAAGGAGCAGAGCCAGCCAGCAATTTAACTACTGGTTCACCCAAAACGGCCCAAAGCAACAATATCTTTGAATCTCACTGTTTGAAGAAGTTGCATAACATCCTCAGAGACTCTTCCCATCCTGCTTACAATCTTTTTGGACTGTTGCCTTCTGGCAGAAGATACAGAACAATTAAAACTTGGACCACACGTTTTCTGAATAGTTTTTATCCCAGAGCTATAATTGCACTCAACGATGAACTAAAGGGCCACCATCAGTGAGCTGTTGGACGGCATTACTTGATCTGTTGTGTGGCTGTTTGGATGGTTTAGGGGTGGGGAACTGTGGTGGGTGGGAGTGTGTTTGGGGATTGTTATGTGTGTTGGACCTGGTCTTTGGGTGTTAAGTGAATTTCGTTGTATGGGTATACTGTGTATACACACGTACAATGACAATAAAGATTATTATTATTATTATTATTAATACCTATCTGTCATGAAGAAGAGTATTATTGTGAATAGAATTGTAGATGTGCATAAGATTATTTCCTAGGACAATCTAGGGCAAGGGTGTCAAACTCAAGGGCAGGGGTCAGATCTGGCCTGCTGGGTGCTTAGCTCTGGCCTGCGGGGCCGCCCTGGAAACAGCAAAGGACCAGCCTGCAGTGCCTCTGCCAGCGAAAGTGGAGCTTGGGAGAGGAGGCTGTTGCAGCCGAAAAATGGACCTCGCGAGGGCCGCAGGTGGCACTCCCAACTCCGTTTTCGCTGGCAGAGGGTTGCAGGAGGCCATCACAGCTGAAAATGGAGCTCGGGAGCCTGTTTTCTCTGGCAGAGTGCTTGGGCCACCACAGGGCCCCCCAACATGAGTGACGTCGAGCTGGCCATGCCCCCCCCCCCGCCCTCTAGGTCAAACACAACCCTGATTGCGGCCCTCAATGAAATCGAATTTGACACCCCTGATCTAGGGTTATATAAAATGGTTTTTTTTATTTTGAGGGGGAGGGGGAGGAAATGACTGTAGGGCATGAATTTTTCCTTGGCAAAACACCACACCACACTTTCCCTTTCCAAATGAATCGTATTCATTAACTTCCAGAGGAAGGTGTGAGTAAGAACCCCATTTGGAATTACTTATCATGGTCGTTGTTCCTACAAGGGGTGAACTCCAGCAGGTTCTGACAGGTTCTGGTGAACCGGTAGCGGAAATTTTGAGCAGTTCGGAGAACCGGCAGATGCCACCTCTGGTTGGCCCAAGAGTGGGGTGGGAATGGAGATTTTGCAGTATTCTTCCCCCAGGAGTGGGGAGGGAATTTATTTATTTATTTATTTATTTATTTATTTATTTATTTATTTATTTATTTATTTATTTATTCAACTTATATACCACCCTTCTCCCCAGGGGGACTCAGGGCGGTGGACAGCCAAACCTAAAACACATATAGTACAAAAGTTAAGAAAAGACTAAAATAAATTAAATCATCAGCATTTCCAATTTAAAATCCCAGATTTGAGTTCCCGATTTAAAACCCAGAATCAATAAAATCGAAAATTTTAAAACCCCATTAAAATCATTTAAGCTAGGCCACTTGTTGGAATAAATAAGTCTTCAGGGCCTTTCAGAAAGCGCAGAGGTCCGGGATCAGTCGTATTCCAGGAGGTAGCTCGAATGGGGATTTTGCAGTATCCTTCCCCTGGAGTAGGGTGGGAATGGGGATTTTGCAGTATCTTTCCCCCAGGAGTGGGGAGGGAATGGGGATTTTGCAGTATCCTTCCCCCAGGAGTGGGGAGGGAATGGGGATTTTGCAATATCCTTCCCCTGGAGTAGGGTGGGAATGGGGATTTTGCAGTATCTTTCCCCCAGGAGTGGGGAGGGAATGGGGATTTTGCAGTATCCTTCCCCCAGGAGTGGGGATGGGGATTTTGCAGTATCCTTCTCCTGGAGTAGGGTGGGAATGGGGATTTTGCAGTATCTTTCCCCCAGGAATGGGGAGGGAATGGGGATTTTGCAGTATCCTTCCCCCAGGAGTGGGGAGGGAATGGGGATTTTGCAATATCCTTCCCCTGGAGTAGGGTGGGAATGAGGATTTTGAAGTATCTTTCCCCCAGGAGTGGGGAGGGAATGGGGATTTTGCAGTATTCTTCCCCTGAAGTAGGGTGGGAATGGGGATTTTGCAGTATCCTTCCCCTGCCACACCCACCAAGCCACACCCACAGAACTGGTAGTAAAAAAAAATGGATTTCACCACTGCTACAAGGTCCTTCTGTGCTCAGTTGCTCCCACTGTTTCGAACAGAAAATGGTTTCTTCTACCCAACGTCTTTCAAGCTGCCACACAGGGGAAGCTTTGCAAACACGTGCTTTGACTTTGGCAGGCCACTTTAGCAATCTCACACTATTTCGTCGCCATGGCAATATTTTTGGTGGTAGGGAAATTTCTTGGTTTTTCGCAGCTCACATGCCAGGGAACATTTTCTTCCAACTGTTCTTTTTAAGGAAGCCTCTTTGTTGAGATGCCAGACCCTTGGTTTGGAGCCACTTAGTGAAAAAAAGAACTGGTAGGTTGACTTCCATGAAAATAACTACTGGCCGACCCCGTTGAAGAATGGAGAGTCAGGCCTGGTGTTAAAGGGAACTGCAGTATTGCCTAAATACAGATATATTTATTTATTCTACTGTAGGGTTCCAAAGTGTGGGATGCGGTGGCTCAGTGGCTAAGATGCTGAGCTTGTCGATCGAAAGGTCGGCAGTTCAGCGGTTCGAATCCCTAGTGCTACATAACGGGGTGAGCTCCCATTACTTGTCCCAGCTTCTGCCAACCTAGCAGTTCGAAAGCACGTAAAAAATGCAAGTAGAAAAATAGGAACCACCTTTGGTGGGAAGGTAACAGCGTTCCATGCGTCTTCGGCGTTGAGTCATGTCGGCCACATGACCACGGAGATGTCTTCGGACAACGCTGGTTCTTCGGCTTTGAAACGGAGATAAGCACTGCCCCCTAGAGTTGGGAATGGCTAGCACATATGTGGGAGGAGAACCTTTACCTTTTTAGGGTTCCAGGAGAGAGAGAGAGAGAGAGAGAGAGGAAGGGAGGGAGGGAGAGAGAGAGAGAGAGAGAGAGAGAGAGAGAGGGAGAGGAAAAACGTTCAACAAGCAGGAAACCGGAAGCAGGGGTGATAATTACATGTTGTTTCTTTTCACAGGTAATTTGACCTTAGGACCCCAACATGTGCAAGATTCCAAGATGGGTTTTGTGATCAATGCAATATACTCCATGGCTTATGGCCTCCACAACATGCAAACGACCCTGTGTCCGGGCTATGCAGGCCTTTGTGATGCCATGAAGCCAATTGATGGACGGAAACTCCTGGATTCGCTGATGAAGGCCAATTTCACTGGGGTTTCTGGAGATATGATCTCGTTTGATGAGAATGGAGACTCACCAGGAAGGTACAGTATATATTCCACCATGTAGAAAACACAGAATGCCTTGGCTTGCTAATTACAGGTTGTCCTCGACTTTGTACAACAGTTCATGTTACAATGGCACTGAAAAAAAATGTTACAATGGCACTCCAACAGACTGAAGCACTTCATTTTCTGAAACTGTTGTGACCCAGGCCCAAGTAAGTAGTAGGAAAATCAGTCAGTGAAAAAACAAACAAACTTTATTTGAACAGCTGAGAATTACTTCATTCCCAGCGTCTTTCAACTAAATTAAAGCAAATTCCTCCCAACACAAATTCCTCAGTCCTATCGCAAACCTTGGTCCAATTAGGCAAACTGCCAAAGGCCTTTCTTGGCAAACGTTCAGAAGTCACAGATACAAAAATAAATACAAGACGTAGATGAAGAAGACGAAGCTACCAATGTTGTTTTCCAGCAAAGCCCAAACGCCGTTGCTGGTCTGTTTTAATTCTTATAGGAGGGGCCAATCATCTCTTGGCCCTACTCCTGAGTTGTCCTCTTTGCTTGAGCTGCTCTTGCCTTCTGGCAGCTCTTCTCATGCGTGCATTAGGAACAGGCTCCTCCTGTTCCTCTGTCTCACTCCTATCAGTCTCTGGAGGCTCTGGAGTCAGCACCTCATTCCCCGATGGTCCTAGCCCCATCTCTGCCTCTGATGCAGAGCCCTCATCCAGGCCTTCCCCAGCCTCCAGGACTGGCCCATATTCTTCCTCAGCCTCATCGCTGTCCGACTCCACTGCCAGCTCCGCAGGCTGCTGGCGGACCACAACAGAAACGTCTAAATGTTCACACAAGCTGCTTCTTGGAGATACCGTGGATCAGACCAACTGGCTTCAGGCTAGCATTTAAATCATGCCTCACTATTTTGGATTTTGAATAAGAATTGGCCAGTTGGCAGAACCTTTGTCAGTAAAGGCTTCAAATCATTTGATTTGAAGACCTGGAAAAGCATTTAGCATTTTCTTTGGCAGCCAAATACATATTCTCTTTGTCTCTAGTTTGCTTTTTCTCCTAATGCCTAGGAGAAGAATGATCTAAGAATGATCTTCCCTGTAAACAGAGGTGGGATTCAAAAATTTTAGCAACCAGTTCTCTGCCCGGTTACTGGGTGGGCGTGGCCATGGTGGGCGTGGTCTACTCGGCCTCCTGCACCATGGCAGTGGGGCGTTTTCACCCTCCCCAGGCTCTGGAGGCTTTGCTCGAGCCTCTGGGAAGCAAAAATGGCTTCCCCCGGGCTCTGGAGGCCCTCCGGAGGCCGGAAACAGGCCCGTTTCCAAACTTCTGGAACTTCCGGGAGGCCTGTTTTTCACCCTGCCAGAGCCTCTACATGGGCCCTGTACTTACCTGGCATCTAAAGTGGGCCATGTGGAGACTCCTGGGAGGGGAGGGGAGGGGTGGGCAGGGCCAGCCAGTCCTTGCAACTACCAGTTCAGCGAACCAGATGTAAAATTAGCATCCAGTTCCCACCGAACTGGTCCAAACCGGCTGAATCCCACTCCTGCCTGTAAGTCATCCAGATCATACAATCCCAAGCAGAAAAAAATACATTTTAAACCCTCCAGCCTTCCGAGGTCAATAAAATGAGGATCCAGACTGTTGGGGGCAATATCCTGACTCCATAAACCACTTAGAGAGGGCTTAAAGCACTGTGAAGCGGTATACAAATCTAAATGCAATTGCTATTGCTATCCCAAAGGTGTTTTTTTCAAAAGGGAAATGGACTTTGTTTTTTCTTTGAAGACGTTTTGTTTCCCATCCAAGAAGCTTCTTCAGTTCTGACTGAAAGGTGGGGAATGGAAGGGTTTATATTCTTTGCAGTCATCTGGTTGTTAGCAGTCTCTCTGAGAATCATTGAGGCCACTTGGGGGTTGCCTGAATAATGTAAATGGGTGTGGAGCCTTCTTAGGGTGGACAAACTTCTGCCTTACTATATTCTTGGGCTTAAAGTGTGCATGTATGTTGCATTGGTTGAAAACTCTCCTGAGCTTTTCAGATATTCCTGCAAAGTACGGAATGAAGTGAAACACCTTCAAGGAAAAAACAAAGTCCAGTTGCCTCAGATGACTGAGAATCTCCATAGACCTTAAACCATGTTTATGTTCTTTCAAATATTCATCATCACGTACAGTAGATTCCTTCCTTATCTCCAGCAAGAGAGAAAAAAAAAGATAGTGTTGTTTTCCAAATGCAATGGATGTGGCACAGGTAGTCCTTGATTTATGACCGCAATTGGGACTGTAATTTTTGTTGCTAATCAAGGTGGTTGATTGATTGATTGATTAAATTTATCATTTATTTATTTATTTATTTATTTATTTATTTATTTATTTATTTATTTATTTATTTATTTATTTATTTATTGGTTCAATTTATATGCCGCCCTTCTCCAGAGACTCAGGGCGGCTTACAATGTGTTAAGCAATAGCCTTCATACTTTTTTTTGTATATACCTGCTTAGTAGGGCTTTTGGCCCCCCTTAAGCGGTGTTCTTTTTTATACAAAGTCACCTTATTGCCCCCACAATCCGGGTCCTCATTTTACCTACTTCGGAAGGATGGAAGGCTGAGTCAACTTTGAGCCTGGTGAGATTCGAACTTGCAGTAATTGCAGGCAGCTGGTGCTACTTAACAGCACTTTAGTCTGCTGCGCCACCAAGGCTCTTAATTATCTGCCCAGGATTGTGGTAAAAAGGGTGGCCAATGGCTTAAATGAGCTGCACCGGATTTTACAACATTTTGCTATGGTTGTTAAGCAAATCACTGCAGTCGTTAACTGAACCACATAGTTGTTAAGCAAATCCAGCTCCTCCCCCCCTCCCATTGTCTTTACTTATCGGAAGCCAGCGGGGAAGGTCACAAATGACTAACACAACTTTCATAAATATATGTTGATTGCTGCTCATATCGAACATGAATCCTGTTGGTTTCAATTCAGCCCAAATCGAACAGGCCAACGAACAAAATGCGGTGGCCTTATTTTGTACCTCTTTTCTCACGGGGACCCTCGACTTGATTATGAGTTTAAGTTCAATGGAGTGATTTCTCTCTCTCTCTTTTTCCCATGTTTTATTTGTTTTATTTATATAACATTCAATTTCCAACAAACAGTGTGAGATCTGGGTACAGTTATTTTTAAACGATCATAATCCACATATTTGTTTTAGTATTCTTCACCATAATATTAATAATATAATAACAATAATACTTAACATCACCTTCTTTAACGACTCTCCACATTAACATTTCGTCTTTTTATAACTCCACCTTCCTAACTTCTGTTTCTGTTGTCTAGCCATTGATAGAATATGTCTCATATCAAAAAATATTCAGTTTTTTCCTTTATCCTTAATAAGGTAAAGGTAAAGGTTCCCCTCGCACATATGTGCTAGTCGTTCCCGACTCTAGGGGGTGGTGCTCATCTCCATTTCAAAGCCAAAGAGCCAACGTTGTCCGAAGACATCTCTGTGGTCATGACTAAATGCCAAAGGTGCACGGAACACTGTTACCTTCCCACCAAAGGTGGTCCCTATTTTTCCACTTGCATTTTTTTTACGTGCTTTCAAACTACTAGGTTGGCAGAAGCTGGGACAAGTAATGGGAGCTCATCCCGTTACGCAGCACTAGGGATTCAAACCACTGAACTGCTGACCTTTCGATCGACAAGCTCAGCATTTTAGCCACTGAGCCACGGCGTCCCTAATATCCTTAATAGTGAGCGTTAATCGTGAGCGGTATAGAAATTTAATTAATAAATAAATAAATAAATAAATCTATCCATTTCTGCACATTCTAATATTTTCTTAATTACATTCCCCTCAGGCGGAATCTCATCATTTTTCCATTCCATTGTATGTGCAAATACAATTCTAGTTGTGGTTAATATATGCAAGACCAGATATTTAATGATCTCTTTTTCTTTCTTTCTTTTGTTGGAAAGGTATGAGATCATGAACTTTAAGAAAATGAAGAAGGATCAATATGATTACATCAATGTCGGAAGTTGGGACAATGGTGAGCTGAAGATGATTGATCGTGACATTTGGTCAAAGAAAAGTTCTGTCATCAGATCCGTCTGCAGCGAACCATGTGAGAAAGGAGAGATTAAGGTAAATCCACCTGTTTTTGAATTGCCGATCCCACTCACATCATCACCCAGCCTAGGGCAGCACCCCAGATCCTCGCCCACAGGCACGTACCGAGAGAGCACCGAGGACTCCACAGTTCAACCCTGAGCTACAAGTTGATCTGTCCCCGTACCCACACACACACACACAGCCAGTCGAGGGTTAAGGAAACACTTTGGAACGCACCCAGTTCTTATCTCCCACTTGGCAGCGATAGACACACCATCTGCCAAGTGACTTTATTTTCAAAGTAAAACAGAAAGACAAATACTCAAGAGTCCAAATGTCCGACACTTTAAATCTTTCTCTCAGCAGCTCCGGACAAGGCTTTAGTGACTATCCAAGGTTTGCTTTGTTCGTCACAAAAATCCTTGACCACCACCCTCTATTATATAGTCTCTGGGGTGTGGTCCAGTGACTCAGTTCTAATCCCTAGCATGCCTCCTAAGCTGCTGCAAACGTTTATCACGCCTTCGGAGGCGTGCGTCCAGGAATGATGTTTCTTTATCACTCTGATCCGAATCAGCTGTCTCCTCTCCCTCGGCCGGCACTTGAGACAATGCCAGAGGGGAGGGGCCTGGAGAGGGAGGCCTGGCTGACTCCTCTTCCTCATGCTCGGAGCTTTCTTCCTCCGATGGGACAGGCTCAGAGGGCGGGGCCACAACACAAGTATTATCTTCTATCAGTGTCATTGTGGAGTGGTGCAGCGGCCTAGAGGTGTAGTTCTCGCCTCACAATCAGAAGGCTGTGAGTCCGATCCTAGGTAGAGGCAGATATTTCTCTCTGTGGCCACACTGAGAATATATCCTGTGGACTATGCAAGTAGGACTGGGTCTTACATCACCCATCATTCATTTGGAGGGATCTTGAACATGCAAGTAGCAGTGAGTCTTACATCAACCTTTACTCATTGGTTCATTTTCCCCAGCGGAAAAATGAACAAGCATCAGTAGCTGACAGGCTGGACAGCTCCCTATAAAAGGAGCTGCAGCCTCAGGCAGCTCACAGTTTGTAATTATTTTTGGTCGTTGCTCCTGTTGTGTGAAATAAACAGTTGTTTTACTTCACTACGATCGTCCTGCCTCTCTTTTCGTATCCGGACTTAACATATCCGCTGAACAAAACTCCGCATTGGTGACAGGAAGCGCATCCGGCCATTAAAACACTCCGCTAGCTCCATTCAGTTGCCCAGTCTCTACCCTACAAGGGATTATAGTGTAGTTAAATGAAGAAGATGATGATGATTATCAGTGTCATTGTGAGTTGGGTGCTATATAAATTTGTTTAATACATAAAAATGCATACATAAATAAATTAATTAATTAAATGGTAGAATTTGGAATTCAGCAGAATGTCCATTCTCTCTCCCAACCCCAAGGTAGGAACTGACCTGTAGTTTTTAAATAATCATGATTGTAAATGACCATGATGAGCAAAATATTCTGAATGAGTTGGAGTGCAAAAGTCAGCCCCAAGGTAGACAAAACCTGAAAACTCATCTCTATAAATGGGCGAGGATCTCTAAACCACTCATCCAGAAACCATCATCATGAACAACTTCGGTTGTTCCTTTTGTAAAAAATATGGATGGATGTCATAAAACAGCACAAAAGCAGAGTTGTTTTTTTTTTTTTAAAAAAGATATCATTTCATAAACTTTAGAAAAAGTAAAGGAATTTAAGAATAGGTTCGTTGTGTCTTCTTCTCAGGTTATCCGCAAGGGAGAAGTCAGCTGCTGTTGGACCTGCACACCATGCAAAGAGAATGAGTTTGTCTTTGATGAATACACCTGCAGGGCTTGTGAGCTGGGATCCTGGCCCAACCACGACCTCACTGGTAGGTGCAGAATAATAGAACATTGACTTACGTATAGGAATGGCAACAGAAGTTTTGAATATTTATAGTGACGCAGATGGAGTATTCTGGAAAAAGGCCTATGACATTCTTCCTCCTCCTCCTTTTCTCCCTCCTCCTCCTCATCTCATCTCCTCATTATCAACATCTCCCTCTCCTCCTCAGCTCCCCCTCTTCCTTTTCCTCCTCCTCCTCCTCCCCTCCTCCCTTCCTCCTCCTCCTCTCCACCTCCTTTCCTCCTCCCCTCCTCCCCTGCTCCTTTTTCCTGCTCATCCCCTCCTCCTTTTCCTCCTCCTCCTTCCTCTCCCCCTCCTCTCCTCCTCCCTTCCTCCTCCTCATCTCCCCCTGTTCCTCCTCCCTTCCTCCTCCTCCTCCTCTCCACCTCCTCCCCCTGCTCCTCCTCCCTTCCTCCTCCTCTTCTCCCCTGCTCTTTTTCCTGCTCATCCCCTCCTCCTTTTCTTCCTCCTCCTCCGCATATATAATTGTATGAAGCTCACCATTTTTGCTTTTATTTCATTCTACCATCTTACAACTTTCTTGCTACGTACCTTCAAACTGTATATATGGAAATTTTGGGATTCACTGGATCCCATTTGCTGGGTACCGTTGATAGTTGTGAATTAATTAGGGTTTACCTAATTAAGTTAAAGGTTTTCCCTGTCCAGTTCAGTGGTGGGTTGCCCCTGGTTCACACCGGTTCTATAGAACCGGTAGTAAAACTGGCGGGAGGCTCCGTCCACTGACCCTGATGTCATCAAAACGCTTCTGCGCATGTGCAGAAGCTTCTGCACTTGCGCAGAAGAGCATGCGCATGGCCCCGTTGTGAACCAGTAGTAAAAGTAAGTAGAACCCGCCCCTGGTCCAGTTGTGTCTGACTCGGGGGGGGGGGGCAATGTTCATCTCTGTTTCTTAGCCAAGGGAGCCAGTGTTTTTTGAAGACTCTTCCGCAGTCATGTGGCCAGCATGACTATATGCCAAGGCGCAACAAACCCTGTTATTTTCCCACCAAAGTGGTACCTGTTTATCTACTCGCATTTGCATGCTTTCAGACTACGAATTGGGCAGGAGCTGGTGCAAGAACAGGAGCCTATTCCATCATGCAGTACTTGGATCTCGAACATCTGACCTTCTGGTCTACAACCCAGCATCTTAACCACTAAGCCACCGCATCCCCTAAAAGGAACCTAAAAGGAGATTGTTACTAATATGCAAATATTAAGAGTTAATAATGCCAGTGCAGATACTTTGATTTCTACTATGTCCCAAAATCACACATTTTATTTATGTTTTTATGACTCTAGAATGAGTGCAGAGATGCACAACAAAGATGATTAGGGGACTAAATGCTAAAACATATGAAGAACAGTTGCAGGAATTGTGTATGTCTAGTCTGATGAAAAGAAGGACTAGAGGTGACATGATAGCAGTCTTCCAAGATCTCAGGGGCTGCCACAAAGAAGAGGGAACAAGCTATTCTCCAAAGCACCTGAGGGCAGGACAAGAAGCAATGAATGGAAACTAATCAAGGAGAGAAGCAACCTAGAACTAAAGGAGAAATTTCCTGAGAGTTAGAACAATTAATCAGTGGAACAACTTATCTCCAGAAGTTGTAAATGGTCCAACACTGGAAGTTTTTAAGAATATGTTGGATAGCCATTTGTCTGAAGTGGTGTAGGGTTTCCTGCCTAAGCCGAGGGTTGGACTAGAAGACCTCCAAGGTCCCTTCCAACTCTGTTATTCTATTCTATTCTATTCTATTCTATTCTATTCTATTCTATTCTATTCTATTCTATTCTATTCTATTCTAGCCTAGCCTAGCCTAGCCTAGCCTAGCCTAGCCTAGCCTATCCTTTCTCATTCCCCTCTGTGTGACAACTGACTAAGAGAGAAGTAAAATGTCCTTGGAATGCCTGTTTCCAGCATCCTGTTTCTTTTAGAATTCCCTACATTTTTGCTCTGCTCTCTTTTTTGCAGTCCTGTTAAAAAATCTCATCCAGAAGCAAACCTTTGAAAAATGAATGCCAGGGGTTGGCTGTGGCTTTTCTCTTTCTTCTAAAACGACCTGTCGGATTTTGTTGCAATCCACAGAGCTTTGCAATGTTTTTCTACCGTAGTAAAAACAGGCAAGAAACTGATGCCACCTGAAAATAAATTGATCCCAATGCAAGCATTTGTAGGGACCGTTTGCAGGATGCATAAAAATCGGATTGCTCTCTGTCAGCTGTCAAGGCTTAGGCTGTCATTTAAAGTCACTGTTCTAACAATCTAGAAGACAATTGCTACTTTTGCAAACCTTATTTGCAAGTTTTCAGTCTGACCTGCAAGTAACTTAGGGAAAAATCTGCCCCCTGCCTTAAAGTCTTATCTGCCCCATCCCCAAGGTTCTGTTTCCCTCTTCTGAAGCAGTATTTTCATTTTTGTTGTTAGTTGTGAAGTCATGTCCAACCCATCGCGACCCCATGGACAACGTTCCTCCAGGCCTTCCTGTCCTCTACCATCCTCTGGAGTCCATTTAAGCTCACACCGACTGCTCAGTGACTCCATCTAACCACCTCGTTCTCTGTGGTCCCCTTCTTCTTTTGCCCTCAATCTTTCCCAGCATTAGGCTCTGGAAAAATGGAAAGGGGAAATCATCCCCAATTAGTAGCTGAAAGGAAATTAAGACTTCCTCCTTCAAAATGCCCTTCATGGTGGATCTCGCAAGGCTTACTCAGCTGTCCTTGAAATGCCTCGTGTCTGAGATTGCTGAAGAGCATTCAGGTCTTCTTGTTTGACCCAAGACAAAGTTGTCCTACCTAGAGACTGCAAGGGATGTGCACTGAATGCAAAGTTACTCTTGTTTCTCTCCCAAGTTTCCAGAGGCAAAAGAGATGAGTAGCACATTCAACCATGTCGTCGGTTATACTTCTTCAAACAGCAGCCAAGGGACCACATTTGTAAATGTTGACACTACATGCATAGAAAAGAGCTCCTTGTTTGTGTATCACCCAGGCTAAGATATCACCAATATGGTTCCTTGGTCATGCATGCATTGTATAATTCTCTTTTCTTTTTTTCTCCCTTTCCTTCCCTTTCCTTCCTCCCTCCCTCTCTCTTTCTCGCCTATCTTCTATCTCTTCCTTCCCTTCTCTTTTCCCTTCTCTCTCTCTCTTTCTCCCCATTTTCTATCTCTCCCTTCCCTTTCCCTCCTCTCTCTTCTCTTCTCTTCTCTTCTCTTCTCTTCTCTTCTCTTCTTTTCTCTTCCCTTCCCTGTAAATCATTTTTTTTCTTATTTTTGACAGCATGGAAATAATTAATTGAGATAAAGATCCAATTGGGACAGAAAACATTTCAAAGAGTACTTATATTCTTTAACCCAAGATTTTTGATGAGGTCTCAAGCACAATTTAGGTTTAGCAGAAGCTCTGTATTTGGGACAATATTATAAAAACTGGATAAAAATGGAAAGATTCCTCTAGGAGTGGCAGTTTAAGCTCAGAAGAATCTATAGTGCAGAGGTCTTCAAACTTGGCAGCTTTAAGACTTGTGGACTTCAACTCCCTATGCTCCCTATGCAGCTATGCTGGCTGGAGAATTCTGGGAGTTGAAGTCCACAAGTCTTAAAGCTGCCAAGTTTGAAGACCTCTGCTATAGTGGGATGAATTCCAGCCACAAGTGCAATCTGTTACCTTTGGTCTCCCCCTCAATATGTGTGTTTATGCATACATAATACATATATTTGTTCATTTGTTTGTTATTCATTCATTCATCAGAGCTGGTGCATATTTCATTTGTCATGAAACACACAAGTAGATACAATCATATTTTTTTTTAAAAAAAGACATATTCTCTATAAGTTCTTTTCATTTTGTACAAAAACCCTAGCATTCGCATTGTAGCTTTATCCCTCTTTGTGGATTAGAAGCTTCATTTTTGGATTTTCCTGGGATAGTTTTGAGATGAAATGATATCCCTTGATCACTCAGTCCAGATAGCGATAAAGAAGAGATGAAGTCTTGTGGAAAGAGCTTGGTGATGCTGTAAGTACTTTGAGCTTTTAAAAATTAACCAATACTGGAAAGGATCCCTTTGTCATTTCATTTTTTCAAAAAAAAGATTCACATCTGCTCCCATTTGCTCTGGTAAATATTCAGAGTTTGTTTGTTTTTAATGTGAGTATAAATGCATATTGCATTCTTCCTATACAGCAGCTTTATTGTTCATCAGCATTTGCTTTAAGTCTTCCCTCCTAGGGTTCCGAAGTATTTAAAAGAACATTATTTTAGTTAGATTGATACTTAAAGTGAAAGTGAATTGCATTTAGAGGGAGGACACACCTGTTGGGAAGGCAAGTATGTTCTGTAGACTGATTTTTCCCTTCTCTTGGTCTCTTCCTCCTTGATTTATTTCCCCCCCCCTTGGGTTATTACTGTTTTTGAACTGTTCTCAGAGGAGGAAAATAAGATCAACTCACAGTCTTTGTGATTAGCGCAGTAGATAAAAGAAATTGTTAATTTCAGTAGCTTTGAAAAGTACAAGAAGAGAGTCAATGTTATTAATCCCACCAGCCTTTGATCAACCTTCCCTCTGAGCAAGCATTTTTAATTCTTCATGTCCTCTAGATGTGCTGATGGTTTGATTTTTGAGATGACAGAAATGCAGGTACTAGATGAATGGATGATAAAGATAGATGATAGAGAGAGAGAGAGATAGGAGAGAGAGATAAGAGAGAGACATAGATAGATAGGTAGAGAGAGAGATATGAGAGATAGACAGACAGACAGACAGACGAGAGAGAGATGAGAGAGAGAGAGATCATAGATAGATTTAGATAGATAGATAGATAGATAGATAGATAGATAGATAGATAGATAGATAGATAGATAGGAGAGAGAAAAGAGAGAGAGAGATGAGACAGACAGACAAACGATAGATAGATGAGAGAGACATAAGAGAGAGGGGGGGGAGAGAGAGATGAGAGAGAGAAAAGAGAGAGAGAAAGA